ATCAAAGAGCACACCCCACCCCCAATAAAACAAATTCAGAAAGCAGCCTCTGCCCTTCCCCTCCTAGTTGGAGGGCTCCGGCAGAAGAGGTGGATGTGAGGCTTCTACCAAGGATCAAGGTCGAAGGTCCCTGGTCATTGGACCACCTTATCAGTTCTAAGTGGTGGTCAGCCAGTATGAGTCAGCAGGGGCCACACCGTCCCTCTGACCAAGGCCTCAGGCCGTGTCCCAGGCCTGATTGTGAGGGAGGGCAGAAGTACATTCCCCAGGCCTAAGGCATTTGGGTGAAATCAGCTAAGCAGATATCAGGGGCATTTGTATCTTTCACCCTGACAGGTAGAACATTCCTGAGAGTTGGTGGAGAGGTGAGGGGGCTGCAGGAGGTGACCAGAGCCCAGGAAGTCTTACTGCATCTTCAATTATCCCCCCGTGGAGCGCTCGGTATTTGAAGGGCACTCTACTGCCTTGCCCTGGCTCTGGCATGAAGTGTATTTGGAGACCCAGAGTCCATATTCACAGATTTTATTTGTCAACTTTGCTCGGGGAATCAGGGAAGGAAGTAACTACAGGGGGCAGCTGCTGTAGGGAACAGTTTTGCTAGAACGAAGGCTGTAACCCCTGCTCCTCCATCCCAAGCTCTCACGTCCGTTCTCGTTCCACCAAGAGGATAAGAGGGAGAACTTTGAGAAGGGTAGGCCTCCAAGCGGGAGCTGTGGGTCCGTGTCCTAGGAAGGGCTGTGCTCGCGAGGAGCACTCATTCGGAAGTGTGCCGTGTGCTGTGGTGTGCTGTGCAGGGCTCTGAGGCGTCCCTGGGGTGTGCGTGCGTGCGAGGATCGATATGAACGGGGGTTCGCAGGCAGTCGTTCCCTCTGCCACCCTTCGCAAAACGCCGAGTCTTCAGGCTGCACGGTGGAGGGAGCTTCAGTGCCCCAAGCCCCAACATGCTCCCGCTAGTGTCTTGGACGCCGACAGGTTTTCCGCGACCTCGGACAGGCTGGACGATCTCAGGCCAACCACTTGAGTAAGTCGAAGCAGCTCCCCATCGAGTCCCGCCCGTCTTTGAGGTTGGCGGGGTTGGAGCTCTCTGGACGGGCGGTCGGCCGCTCCTTTGCTGCCTCTTCTCCTTATTGGCCTCTGGGAGATCGAGATCGAGGCAGCTGCCCCCGCCCGTCCATCACTGGGCGGGGCCCAATCAGGGGAGGGTTGGTCTTTGAGGTCTTTTTTGCCCGGTTCCAAGATGGCGTTCACGACTACGCTGTAAATAAGGTGTGAAGCCGCAGTTCTGCCATCACTCAAGATGGCCGCCCCCATCAAGATGACCGGGGTGTGCCGGGGGGAAACGGGTTGCATGATGGCCTGAGACAGTAAGGGCTACTGCTTCCTTGCAAACCTCGCCCTGAGGTCTAGGAATGAATAGTAGAAAGACTAGGAAGCTCGGTGAGGTCTGTGATGGGGGCTAGGATTAGAGAGTGGGAGGAGGGGACAGGGTGACAGGTGGGATGAGGGATCAAAGATGGGTCGGGAGTGGGGTTCAGTCTCCCCACCGGAGCCCTCTTCCCCAACTCTTCCTGTTCCAGGTCTAGCGTCGGACCATGTGGCAGTTTCTGGGACAGGAGAGTCGGATGATGGGGGCTGGGGCCCGCGGAGGGTAGAGGGAGCAATAGCATCCTTTCCCAGGCCAATCCCAGCCCCTCCTCTTGCCTTTGGACTGAAATGGGGAACACGTTAGGCCTGGCACCGATGAGGGCTTTGCCCCGCCGCAGCCCGCGTCGAGAGGAACCTCTGCCCAACCCTGGGAGCTTCGATGAGCTGCACCGGCTATGTAAAGGTGAGAATTTGACATTTGGGTGTCTCAAATTGAAGGGATAGAAGAGAAGAGGGTCTTGAATACTGGGTGTTCAGTGATGGGAGCAGGAAAGGGGAGATCAGAGCTGGGGCATCAGGGAGGATCAGGTGCCCCACTGGAGTGGAGCATTTCGTTGCAGGACTTGAAAGGAGGTCAGTTCCTCCAAAGAGCTTCATTTGGAATGAAGAGGGCAAACTGCTTCTTGGGGTAGGGGCCTTGTCTGTGCTTATTCCTTCCCTTCCCCTCCCCTCCACCCCCTTCAGATGTATTCCCAGCACAGATGGAGGGAGTGAAGCTCGTTGTCAACAAGGCTCTGAGCAGCCATTTCCAGGTGCTCTCCCTTCTCTGGCCCCTCCTTCCGACCCCTCTCTGCCTGTCCCTGGGTCGTCCTCTTGCTTGCTTTGTGCTCCAGCCTTAACTAGCTCGTCTGGGACAAACGAGGGAGGGTGTGGGGCTCTCTTACTCCCCTTGCCTGTGGGACTTACTGCTTTTAACCTGATGGCCCTCTGTATATGTTGGAATATTTGGGATTCTTAAGAGCCCTTCTGAACCGGGAGAAGATGAAGGGTGGGATGGGGGGCTGAAATGGAGCAGGAATGCTCTCTCCTCCAGTGACTTCTCTTTCCTTAGGTGGCTCACACCGTGCACATGAGTGCTCTGGGCTTGCCAGGCTATCACCTCCACGCGGCGTATGCAGGGGACTGGCAGCTTAGCCCCACTGAGGTGAGGGCTCCACACACCTGTGTCACCTCCCTAAAAGCCCACCTGGGACCCAGGAGGAGGAGGAAATGTGTGTGTGTTATGGGGAAGACTGAGCAGGCCACCTACCTGCTTCCCGTTTCTTCTGAATGGGAGAGGGCGGAGAAACACTTCTATCACGAGCCAGTTTGTCTTTGTGGCTCCACTAGGGGGCGCTAGGGACTGCTAAAGAAATCCCACGTAGTACTCATTGGATCTAGGTTGAGCGGTGCCATCGGGCTCAGTCTTACTGTCTACACTCTTCAACAGGTGTTCCCCACTGTGGTAGGGGATATGGACAGCAGTGGCAGCCTCAATGCCCAGGTCCTGCTCCTCCTGGCAGAGCGGCTCCGAGCCAAGGCTGTCTTCCAGGTGACCTGTGGGTTCTGCCTCCATCCACTGAAGCATTTCCTCTTTCTCCGTCCTCCATGAGTGTCCTGCTCTGGGGGCTTCAGGGCTCCAGGGGGAGTAGCAGAGGCAACAGTGATCGTAAAGAGTGGGGGAGGTTTTACTTCTTGCTCTCCCTACCCAGACGCAGCAGGCCAAGTTCCTGACGTGGCAGTTTGATGGCGAGTATCGGGGAGATGACTACACAGCCACTCTGACCCTAGGAAATCCTGACCTGATTGGGGAATCGGGTGAGGAATTGGAACAGGGTTTGTTTTATCTTGGCTGCCCACATGCTGTGCCTCTTGGTCGTCTGTGCAGTTCAAGGATTAGGAAAGAAAGTTCTTGGGCAGGCTGGGGTGGGGGCTTCTGGGGGTGAGGGGACAGGTCTGGATGTGGCCTCTAAGCTGACTCCGTGTCTCGCCCTCCCCCGCAGTGATCATGGTTGCCCACTTCCTGCAGAGCCTCACTCACCGGCTGGTGCTGGGAGGAGAGCTAGTTTATCACAGGCGGCCAGGCGAGGAAGGCGCCATCTTAACACTGGCTGGGAAGTACTCTGGTACGGGATGAGGAGGGGAAATTGTGGGCTTGGCTGGGGTTCCTGGCCTGTGTCCTACTGCAATAATTCCCCTTTTCTCCTGTACTTTGCTTTTTACAGCTGTACACTGGGTAGCTACATTGAATGTGGGATCAGGTGGGGCCCATGCGAGTTATTACCACAGGGCAAATGAACAGGTGAGACCACTGATCCCACCCCCAGCCCCAGCAAGTCAGTTGGGACCCTGTACCCGTTCAGGCCATGCGGAACCTGCTGACCTCCTCCTTCCTGCCCCCACTACACCTAAACCTCCTGCATGCCTCCATTCTGCTGAGGAGAGTCCTCTGCCAGGACCCCTCCTGTCTTCATTGAGACAGACCCCTCTTCCGTCCTTGCCCGCGGTTCTTAGGTTCAAGTTGGAGTGGAGTTTGAGGCGAACACGAGACTACAAGACACGACCTTCTCCTTCGGTTACCACCTGACTCTGCCCCAGGCCAACATGGTGTTTAGAGGTGAGGACTATTGAGATGGCACTCAAGGTGCTGAGGGACTGGGTGGGGACAGAGGGAAGGAGGCGACACGTTACTTCTGCTGACCCCTTTCTCCAAGCCCTGTGAAATAACCGAGTCTGTATTCTCCCCAACAGGCTTGGTGGATAGTAACTGGTGTGTGGGTGCTGTGCTGGAGAAAAAGATGCCCCCGCTCCCCGTCACCCTAGCCCTTGGAGCCTTTCTCAGTCACTGGCGCAACAGATTCCACTGTGGCTTCAGCATCACCGTGGGCTGAGGTTGTCCCCGAGCCAGCCCGCACAGCAGCTGGGACCTCTGAGTCAGGTGCCCAGGGCCAGAGACCAGGCCCCTCTCCAGAGCCCACCTTGCTGGGTGACCTAGGTCCCAGGAGCAGTGTGGGTGGTAGGACCATGCTCTCCTCAGAACTGCAGCTGCCACAGGGGCGGCTGATGGGGCAGTGGCATGAGGCTCCCTCTTCTGCCACCAGCCTCAGTGTCATCACCTTCATGTCTGTGGCTCTGGACTAAGGGAGAAGGATTAAGGGGTCTGTCCAGCCCAAGTTTCTCCCCTCACTCCGTGTGGATCAAAGCTCCTAGCCTCCTCCTCTTCAGAGCAGCAAAGTCTGCCTGGGATTAGCTCCCCATCCTGTTTGCCATCCCAGGGTCTCCCAAGGCTGGGAAAGAAGGGCTGAAGGGCTAAATCTCTGACCTCGCAAATTGGGACCCACCCATTCCCAGAAGGAGCTTCTTTGCCTCTTAGCCCTGAGGCTTCCTCCTTCCCTGTGTTCTGTGCTTCCAGAGAACAACTTTGTCCTCCTGCTAAGCCCCGACCCCTCCCGTGACTGCATGAAGAGGCAGTTTCTCTTTAGTCTTTCATTGTATTCACTGGGCTCCCTTCCTACTGGTGCCAAGCGCTGGGCCCAGCCTTTCCCCGTTCTAGTACAGTGAGTCCGGGCAGGCCGGGCCGGAGGTGAGCGGGGGCCTCAGCTGCAGATCTCCTGGAGCAGGGGCATCATGGCGGACAGTCCCCGGACGTGCTGGATCTGGTACCCATACGCGTTGTTAATGCTCCGGAGCTCAGCCAACAGGCCCAGCAGCTTCGCGTACAGAAACCTTTGAGGTCACCGGGGGAAGAGAAGGGAAATAGGGCAGCTGAGAGTCTTGTCTCGAGACCCCGATCCCCTGACCTGCCCCTCAGTGAAGCTATGTGTGAATGCCAGAGAAAATCATGCTGTGGTATGGCAAACTTATTGACGGTTCTGCAGGTCCCTACAGCGGCCTCTGCCTGACACCGTCTTCTCTCACCGTGCTGTTTTCCTGAGGGGCAAGTGTGAAGAAAGCCCCAGACTTGGCCAGAGCGTCAGCCATGTGGGATCTGAGCATCTAGCCTTCTAGAGCAGATTCTAGAAGGTGGGTGTGTTCTGCGGTGTAAAGCAGTCCTCTTCTGGCAGCAAGGACAGAGGGGGAGCATAACTCAGAGCTTGGATAGATCAGGGACTGTTGAACCACGGACTGAGTTTGGTCATGAAACTGAATGATCGTGACTTCAAGGGGAATGAAAAATTAAAGGAACTGGCCCAGAGGAGAGGAGGGGAAAGAAAAAGGAATGAACAAGACTCTCAAACAGCTGCTTTAGACTGGGGAAGTTGGATTGGTGAGATGATGGATACCATCAATTTCAGGAATGCTGTTGGATAGAGCCTGTGAGCTACTACTTTGCATCTCTCCTGAATAAAAAAAAATCTGGAAAAAAGAGATAAAACAGCAGTAGAAGCAATTTGGATGCCAGAACTATATGAGACAGGAAGGAAGGACTAGACTCCCAAGGGACTTGGTTTCCCAAAGGGCAGGACAGCAAAGGATTCATCCTGAGCTCGGTGTTTCTCCGGCCCCCTCCTGCCCTGGGCAGCCTCCAAGCCCCCAGTCTCCCACTGTACCGATCCTGGGGCCTTGGTCGCTGTTTTTTTATGTAGCTCTGCAGGGTCAGTGCCATCTCTTCTTGCAGCTGATCAATCTGCTCCCTTCGGGTAACCCCAGGCCGGTCTGTAAGATGGGGAGTGGGGAAGAGCAAGGTTGGGGTGGGGGCTTGGGCTGCAGTTCCCCAGTGGGCCGAGGCTGGGGAAACTGTGCATAGGTTTAAAGACTAAAAGGCCTGGGATGGGTGGGTTCCGGGAGCTGGGAGTTTGGGTCCAGGTGGTGGAATAAAAGCTTCTGGGCTTTTGGGACTACTTACCGGGAGAGAAGAGGGCCATGGCAGCCATGAGCACATACTCAGGTTCCTGGAGGTGCAGTCGCCGCAGTGTCCCATGGAAGTGGAAGAGCAACTCTAAAAACTCTTCCTGGAACCCCACTGTGGGAAACACGAGGCTTAGGAGCTTCGTACTTCGCCACATACCATCCCACAAGGACACACGTCCTCTACTATTCCAGCACCGTCTCACCATGGACTCCATCTTCTATTGTGTAGCGAAGAGGCCCACAGAAGAAGTTGTGTGTTTGCAGACAGAAGGTGGTATTGAGTGCGATATGACAGATTTCTACAGCTGCTCCCTTGAGAAGGGAGATCTGGTCCTCCATGGGCAGGGACCTGTGGGGAGCAGGAAATGAGGACACTGTAGACTCTACCGTGAGCTTCAGAGACAGAGAGGGACTCTTAGCTATGACTGAGATACTTAAAGTTGGCAATTCAAGACCCAGGCTTGGAAAGGCAGAGGGATGCATTAGTTTGTCAGGGACTTTGGTGGGTGGGGCAGATTGTAATTTACCAGAGTTTTTTTTCCTGAAAGGTAAGGGGAGGTCAGTACCGGAAGAGGGGCAGGTCCTTGGTGAACTTGATGATTTGCTGCACCATGAAAGTGTTGATGTCTGCAAAGTGCATGAGCAGAGGCAGTCCTGGGGCGAGGGTGGCCAAGGGCTGGTGGTGGATGAAGAGATGAGCTGGAGGCTGTAGAGATCAGAGCCTGAGGGAGGGGCTCTGGTTGTGGTGACCTCCTTTGGGCCTTGGACAGGGTCCAGGCCAAGAAGCCTGTGTGGTCTGCGGTTCTGGAGATGTCCTGTTCTCTATTTTAGTGCATGGCACACAGCCCCCTCCCTCCGGCCAGCCTCCTGGGGCACCCCTTGGTCACATTCCAACCCAAATCCTGTGGGTGCTCACCCTGAACTGCACAAACTGGTCAAACATGGCACCCATGTGGCGGGTGTGGGCCCCGAGGAGGGTGCGAACCAGCTCTTTCTGCTCCTTGCTCAGCAGCATTGGCGCGCACTGTGCCCGTCGCCGGGCCTGCCTTGCTCGCCGCAGTGCCAGGGCTTCTGCCGACAGGATCACTGTGCTCGGACAAGGGATGTGGCAAAGCCATTGAGACCAGCAGAGAACAGCCCTGCTCTGCCAGCCCCCAGTCTGAGACCCCTCAGATGCCCTTCCCAGTGAAGATGCAGAGAGGGAGAGGAGTTCCTGAGGCCTCCTTGGTCCTGGTGGGGTCCCAGAGGCTCCAGGGGGCACGGGCTTCCTGCATGCTTTCCCTACCCTGGGAGGCCCTGCAGCGGGAAACAGTGCACTGTGGAGAGTGAAGCATGCTGGGGAGTAAGGGGGGCCACCGTGAGATGTCTGGCTTCCGGGGAACATTGCCCAGGGAGAGCTCTTGATACCTAAAACATCACCTTAAGTTTGCATGGCAAAATTTCAAACCTCCCTGGATGAAACAATCCTGTGTATAGAGAGGATAGGTGATATTAACCATATATTTTAGAAATGTAAAGAGGCTGACATTCCAGTGACAGGCCCAAGGTCACAAAATATTTAAGTGATGTAGACAATTCAAGCCAAATTTTTTTTACCTCTGCAGTTTCCTTTCCACTGCTCCATATGGAGAGCAATGTGATTTCATGGAAAAAGCAGGGATTTGGGAGTCAGATGAGTTGGCATACTGACTCTACAACTTTGTAGCTGAATGAAACTGGGCAAGCTGACTTCTGCACGGCCTAGTTACACTATCTGTTGGGAGCACAGCCTAATTCCTGGCACAGAGCAAAAGCATTAAGCAGTCAACAATTATCAAGTACCTACTAAGTGACAGGCACTGTACTTGCAAGCTAGAAGAGAAAAAGCAAACCAGGAGAGTATCTAGGGGCAGTGTTCTGGGGAGTGGGTGTGACAAGTGCGAGTGCAAGTGAATAGAGAGGGCCTGGCGTGTTTGAGGGTGGCACTGGGAGTCAGCATGGCTGGGATAGATTGAGCAAGGGGGAAGAGTAGGAAATAAAATCTGAGAGGTGGTATGGGGGTGGGGCTGGGAACTAGACCATGAGATCATGGACCGTAAGAGATGAGGAGCCATTAGAGGTTTTGAACAGAATTGTGGCATCATCTGATTTGTTGCAAGAAGCATTCTCTGCAGGCTGTGTGGAGAATACGCTGTGGGAACAAGGGCAAAGCAGAGACATAGTGGATTCTTGGGATGGTGGGGGCCAACTCACTGTCCTTCCTCATGCCAGCATCTAGGCACTTCTGCAACCTGCAGGCCTGGCAGTGGCGCCTCTGGGCCTTGGTGACCGTGCAGCTTCCAGCAAAGGGGCAGGTGAGACAGGTGCTTTTGCTAGCTGTTCGTCTGTGGGAGCCAGGGCCCGTGTGAGGGTTGGGGATAGCAGTGAGCAGGCAGGTATGTGAGGAGCTGAGATGGCATGGAGTAAAAGAACCAGTGGTTGCACGGGCTAATCTGAGCTGTGCCCAAAGGTCCCCAAGGGTAGTTGGGGTACAACACATCTCAAGTATTTCAGGGGGCACAGGGTCACTCAGGAGAGCGTAGGTCGTGCTTTGCAGGCATTCAGTACATAATAAGTACTCCTGACTAAGGGATTGTGTCCATAGGATAAACGCTCAGCCTTCCCTCTGTTATTATGCTACCTGTTTATGCAGTGTTGAGGTTGGCAGGATGTAGCGGGCTAGCCACAGGGTGGTGGGGCTCTGGGATGCCGGCATAGCGTAGCCGGGCTAGCCTGGGCACGTGCCAGCACCTTCCTCTCGGCGGAGAGCTCTCACCTGAAGAAGCCCTTGCAGCCCTCACAAGTCAGGGCGTGGAAGTGATAGCCTGTAGCTCGGTCCCCGCATACAACACAGTGCCTCTGCTCATCGTCCCCACTGACCATGGCTTCAAATGTGGTGGCTGTCACAGGCCCCTGAATGAGGGAGGGGTAGGCAGTCAGCTCTGGGACACCCTTGACCCTCTCCTCCCCTTCTGCAGAGCCTCTCCCCAGCCTGCCCTGGACCTGACCCCTTGCATTATCTGTACTTTAGTGCTTTTGGTCTCTGCTGCCCTCCCTCACTCCTCCTCCCCTGACAATTTCCTACCTGTTCCTCTTAGGCAGCCTGTCACCTGCAGGCCACAGAATCTGGTGTGGGTGCCTCTCCCCAAACTCTCCCTCTGCCCCTTCTCCCCCCTTGATGGGCTGCCAGCATGTGGGGTTAGGGATTACAGCCCTCAGTACCTGGAAAACAGAACCTTCTGTTGTGTGTGTGGCCTCCAGTTGTTCGCAGTGCCTGTTTAGGTAGGGCACAGACTCTGAACCCAGGGCAAAGGCCTGGGTGGGAGGTCTTCCCAGCATGCCCATGGTGGTGGTTGCTGGCATATGGGGAGGGACCTCGGTGGGCAGGGACCTCGTGACTTATTAGATGCTGCTCCCTCTCAGACCCATGGAGATTTTCCCTATTGCAGAACTTGAGGCTAGATCTACAGCCTCCTCTGTACGTGGATCCTGGCCAAGCTGGGAAGAGGAGAGACAGAACAAGCTCTTTCACATGCAGTTTGTCAATAGCGGGAGACTAAGCATGATAGTGGCACAAGCCTCCCCAAGGGAAAGTGCTTAGAAAGAGGCTGGGGTCTAAGAGCTCAGATAAAGAGCTAGAAGAGGTCCCACTTCGTGACTAGGGAGAGCAGAGAATTAAATCAGAGAAGTGTCTAATACATTAGAAGTAGTTGGGATTAATCTGGGGACCGGGGCCAGAGCTGGCTTCATGGGTGTGTGACCTGCACAGTCACACAAGGCCCTGTGTCTAGAGGGGTCTAGGGTTTGGTTCATTGCTCTGCTATTGCCGCCTCAGCATTCTTAATGATTTTTGAACAAAGGGCTCTGCATTTTCATTTTTCAGTAGGCTCTGCACATTTTGTACCTGGTCCTGTCTGGAGCTACGATGAAAAACTTCTAAGAAGTTTAAGGATCAGAAAATCAGAAGTAGGAGTCTCACTGGAGTTGTCCAGTATGCCACTGACACTGAAGATTTTTGCAGGTGTAAAAACTATACTCTTAACATACCCTGCCAATGTCTATGAACAGAAAAAGTAACTCCAAAAGCTATGTGGATGTTTTGGGGCTGGACACTACTTTAGGTACCTCTCTATTGGATGAACCCAATATCACACCAGACTGGAATACAATCCAAAACTCAGTCTTTCCATCTGAAGAGCCTTTCCCACTGCAGATCTCACTGGGTGTTCGCTGTTCCTGCACTTAACACCAATTTCTTTCACTAGAAATAAGTATTTTTCTTTTTTCCTTCTTTTTTCTTTGTTTTTAAAGTTAAGTTATAATTAATGTTGTTTTAAAGATGGATTAAAAGCCCAAGTGCAGGCTAGAGTCTTAAAACATACACAGAGAGACAGAGAGAAGAGACTGAGTTAAAAAGAGCCTGTTTAGGTTCCCAGAATGAGCTGGTGGAAACCTTCATCTCACATGGCACAACACCCAAGTATGCCTAACTCACTGCACTGTGAGATGAGCTGGGTTCCGGGGAGCACTGGTGCTGAGATCTGGTCCTGGGGAGGTGCTGAGCATATGTACGTGCATGTATCTGTTGGTATGTTGGCTTGAGCATGATTCTGAAAATTCATACTAACTCATTCAGGCTGTAAATACTGACTGAGAACCTACTACATGTTAGACACTAGGGATAAATAGATGTAGAAGATGCTCACTTGCCCTCATTTTTTTTTAAATGGTGCTAGTGGGGAAAACAGACCTTTAAACAGAGAGAAAAAACTACCGTCAGATCAATGATGTGCTATGCACAGAGCATTACGGGACCGCAAAAGAGGGGCACCTAATCCTGCTTTGGCAAAGGGGTATTGAGGAGGCAGGAAAGGCTTCCTGGAGGAGTGACAACTGAGTTGATTTTAAAAGAATAATGAGGAGTTAATGAAATAATGAAAATAAAAGGTGGTTTAGGGTTAAGGTACAACCTGAGAAGTTCGAGAAGCTAAGTACATAAAAATGGATGTGGTTGAACCACAAACAGGCCTCTCTCCCTGGAGCATGACATTGCAGACTGGAAGAGGGGAGAGAGAAGTCTGAAGAAGTGGTCCGTGAGACTGAGATCTAGGGAGGACCAGTTTAGTGGGGGTTCCTGTGCCCGACTAAGCACCTTGAGTTCATCAGGGTCTTTTAAAGGGTAAGCTGGGAAATGACGAGGTCATATCTCTTCTAGATAGATCTGTCTTATTCTAAACAGCTTACTTTGCTAGCTGTTTGGAAGATGGTCTTGAGAGGGCAAGACTGGAGGCAAAGAGACCAGGAGAAAACTGCTTCCATCGTTGGGTGAGAGAAGATTCAGCCTGAGTGGGGATAGTGGTAGGATGCACAGGAGGAGAGGGTTTTGAAAAACACATGAGAGTTGAAATAACCTGGAGACAATCCAGTGTCCGTCAGTGGAGACATGGATGGATGGATAAAAAATGTGAATACACACACACACACACACACACAGAAATGTTATTCAGTCATAAAAAGAAGGAAATCCTGTCATTTGCAACAAATGGATGAATCTTGAGGGCATTATGCTAAGTGAAATAAGTCAGATAGAGAAAGATAAATACTATATGATCTCACTTATGTGTGGAATCTAGAAAAAACCAATAGAAACAGAGATCAGATTTGTGATTGCTGGAGGTGGGGGTTGTGGGAATTGGGTGAAGGTGGTCGAAAGGTATGAACTCCCAGTTATGAGAGAGAAAAATTCTGAGGATGTCATATACAATATGGTGACTGTAGCTAACAATACATTAATAGTATTGTGTATTTGAACGTTGCTAAGCGAGTAAATCTTTTTTTAAAGGTATTATTGATATACACTCTTATGAAGGTTGTACATGAAAAAACAATGTGGTTACTACATGCACCCATATTATCGTGTCCGCCCCATGTCCCGTTGCAGTGACTGCCCATCAGTGAAGTAAGATGCCACAGAGTCACTATTTGCCTCTGAGGGAGTAAATCTTAAAGCTCTCATTACAAAGGAAAAAATTTTTGTAACTATGTGAGGTGAATCATTTCATGATATATACATACATCAAATCATTGTTGTACACCTTATACAATATTTCAATAAAACTGGAAAAAATAAAATGGAAATCACTGTCAACTCCCCACAAACTAACTCCTCCGTTGTTACCTAACTTGATGACTATGCCAACATGAGAAGGTGGAAGGAAGATGGGCTTTGGAGTCATACAGACAGGTCAAATTCTGACTCTGGCTCTTGCCAGCTGAATTACTTTTTTTTTTTTTGCACTTTTCCTAATTATTTGACATCACTGAGACCCAGCTCTGTGGGAGTCAGATATGATGAGGCTGGGCCAATCCCAGGCAGGAGAAGGGAGGCTGACTTCCCCTCCCAGATCGGTATTGAATCCTGAGGCAGCCGTTCAGGCTGGGGGAGAGATGCTCCGGCGGAGGGCCGCCCTTTCACCTGGGGCCTGGGGATTGCCCTGAGCCTTATTCTTGCAGTTGCCCTGGGGCCACACCTCACTGAGCTTGCTCTTCTACGTACAGAATGCTCCCCGAGCTTCACAGTCTCTCCCCAGGGAGCTGACTGAGACTGGATCTGCTGCAGGATGCGCCTGACACCCACAGTGAACAGCCTTGCGGGGTTAACTGATGTCCTTACCCTCTTTCAACATGCCTGTTCCAAGCCAGGGTCAGAAAAACATCTGTGTTGGTTGTGGCCTGGGGGGGTTAAGCTTTCTGAACTTCAGTTTTCTAATTTGGAAAATGCGGTTAATAGCACACACTAGCCAGATTTGTTGTGAAGACATATGTAAAGTAAGTAACGTATGTAAAGTTCCTTAGACAGTGCTTGGAACGTGCAAGGAAGTTGATTCAAATTCATTCTTTATCCTCTTCCTTTCCCTCCTCTTCTACTGCTACCCTTTCCCAGAGGCCAAGCCAGAAGCTGGGGAGTCACCAAGCCTCCTTTCTCTCCCTCATTCTCTAAAAATCATCAGATGCCATGCCTTGACATTCCTGTCTCCTGAACTGTACGTGCCCACTGCCTCTTAGCTGAGTTCAGGCCCTCATCATTTTCTACTTATCACCTCAGTAAGCTATTAAATCATTCTCCCTACGACTAGCCCCATCTCCTCCCAACCAACCCTCCACACTGCTGCTATTTCCAAAATGCAAATATGATTATGCCTCTTCCCTGCTTAAAAGTCTTGATTTGCTTCCCATCACCTTCAGGATAAAATCCAATCTCTAGTGTGTCACACAAAGTCCTTTGTGACCTGGCTCCTATTTATCACTCTGGCCTCATCTGTTCCAATCCTGCTTCCCTCCTTTGACCTAACACATCACCTTTTGGCTCTTGATGTGCTTCAGCATCTTGCATTCCCTGAACAAGTTGTGCTCACTCACCTCTGAACATCTGCCCTTGTTATTCTGTCTGGTTGGAATTATTATACACACTACCACTTCCAAATCACTGCACATCCGCCTCCCCTGGTCTTCCCTGATATTCTTGCCCCTTCAGGCCTGAGCACAGATCACCGCTGGGAGCCTGTGGGTTAGAGCTTACACGTTCATGTATACTCTGCATGCACATTGATCATAGCACTTAACATGTTACAGAGCGATTGTCTTTTTGATTCTGTCAATCAGCTGTGAGTTGGCAAAGTCAAGAGCTGCTTGTTTTATTTTCAGACCCTTAGAGTCTTGTATACTCCCAGAACATATAACAAATGTTTATGGAATGGATAAATAAATAAGTAGCTAGGATATAAATTAAGGCCTGATTGCAAACTCATGCTCTTTTCATGTGGCACCATATGTTATTATTTGAGAATGCATTAATTCATTCAACAAATACTAATGGGTATCTACTTTGTGCCAGGCATTTTCTAGCAGTGTAGGTTTCATGATGTCATCGGGATACATTCCAGTTTTCCTTTTTAGTTGCTGTGTTTCAATAGCTGATTATCCTTTGCTGTCCTGATTCTCTGACAGGATGCTCGCTAGTCTTCTAGTCTGATTCCAGATTCCTTTCTGACTTCTGAACCAGTGCTGCCAGCTGTTCCTACCTGCTATGTGTGCATTTGACATGTGACTGACCTCACTCAGGTGTCTATTGGGCCAAATTTCCAATCTGGTCCTGTTATATGCTGTTTGGCTCCCCAGGTCCTGACACAAACAGTTCTTTGAACAAAAAGGGTCCCGGCTACCTCCGCCGTTGCACCTTGCAATCTGGTTTTAATATTCCTTCTCTAAATTCACCAGTGATCTCCTGTGGCCTATTTAATTCAATGGCTTTTCTCTTATATTTCTTTCAATTAACCTCCCTACTGCTTTTGACTCCCTGACAGCCACATTATTTTCTTTGACACTTTTTCTCTGCAGCTTCGGTGATGTTATGCATCCCTGATTTTCCACTTGTTTTTCTAATCGCTCTTTTTTTCTTTCTCTTCTAGGGGATTTTCCTCTTTTCTAAGTCTGTTGGTTAGGAAAAACTGTGGGGTTTTCTCCTAAGACTCGATTGCAACCTCCCCCACCTTATTTCCCCTGCAAGAATAATCTAAAAATGAGATCGTGCAAGGCTCAGGTTTAAATTCTTTATTGTGATATTCAAGACTCTCACACATCTCCTGCAGCTTCCCCATTACAAGCCTCAGTCTATAACCCCCATCTATAAACCCCATAAACCTCAGTCTTCTTTCATTATTTGTTTTTCTCTTGTTACCACCCAGATGCCAGACAGACAGATCTTTTTTTTCCCCTTCCTCCCTTCCTTCTATCGCTTGTCTAAATTTTATCCTTCCTTTACAGCCCAAATCCCATTTTCCCCAGGAAGCTTTTGACACTTTTGGTCCTGGACAGTGTCTTTCTTCTTTGATCCATTACTGTTTATTATTATACAACTTACTGTCGTAGCATACTTGGGCCCTTAATCATCTGTGGCAGCCCTGGCAATTTATGGCCAGTGAACCAAATCTGGCTTGCTTCTTATTTTTGCACAGCCTGTGAGCTAAGAATGGTTTTTATTAAAATTTTAGAGGAAGAAAAAGACTATTCCGTGATGCATAAAAATTATATGAAAGTCACACTTTATTCTTGTCCCAAAGTAAAGTTTTATTAGGATATAGCCACACATTTATTTACATATTGTCTATGACTGCTCTCAAGCTATAGTGGGAGGCTTGAGTTGTTTCGACAGAGACCAAAAGGCCTGCAAAGCCTAAAATATGTATTACCTGTCAGTTACAGAGAAAGTTTGCTGATCTCTGACCTAGGTTCTTGAATTCTTTTCATAATCTTTGCATAGCTGTTTAAGAACTTAGGAGAGGTCTGCTTCACTAAAGACAAGCTTTTTAATGCTAATTAGCTATTCATTAGAAAGGTGGGGGATGCCAAAGGAGTAGGTTGCATAGAGTGAGTAGGAGCTAGCCTAGTTAGAGACGTGGTAGCTTAGGCAACCAGATTCCATTGGAAAGTGAGAGTCAGAGGATCTCAGGTGGATGGGGGGAAAGACATCTTTCCATCTTTGTTTCTGACTTGGCAGAGGAAATGTAACAGCACAGAGGCTCTAGCTAGAGGAAGGGTATTTTGTGTCTTATCTGAATGTGGTTGTTGAGAAGAGATCAATGGTTACTGGCTGAGAGTGGCTCAGCTATTAATGACTCAGTTATTACAGGTCATGAAAGGAACTACCAAAAGACTGTGACAGCTAAAGCCGACAGTGTTTGGCTTTGGCCGACTGGTGCTGAAAGTGGGCTAGGAGGTTTTACAATGCCTCGAAGTAGCACAGGCAAGAGAATTGAAGGATTTCCTTAAAGAAACAAAAACTAGATGCTTAGATGAACAGGAATAGCAGTTGCAGTCATCAGAAAGTTCATGACTTTTACCTTGGCATTCAATTTCTTTTCATCTTGCACTGATCTTATTTTTTTTTTCTTAAAACTGATACAACATAGTAATTATTTAGCAAGTTTCCATCTTATTGGAAGATAATACTATAGAGATTGGACTGTGGGCTTTATCTTTCATAATGTGCTCCCTACACTTGGGCAGAGTGGACTCTGGTCCACCACGGTACTGTGAAACTCAAACATGGGCCGCCAAATGCGTTGCTACCTGAATTACAGGAAAAAACAAGCTTCACTGGAGGAGACAGGACTCGCATATTGAAACCTATTTTAATATGCCATTACAACCTAGGTGCAAGGTCATAATAAGTGTGTCTCCTTTTTGTCTCCTTTTTTAATAGCTTCACCACCAAGCCTAGCAGAGTGGAGTGCACTTTGTCAGACTGAGCTTGAATGAATAAGCAGTTGTAAACTAACTTTTGGGGGGAGCTCATTACCTATTCAAGCGAATGCTAGGGGATCATCCTTTTGTTGGAGAAGGATTTTTTGCATTATGTGGGAGGTAGGATTGATGAATCTTAAAATGTCTTTCAACTTCTAAGATCTATATGCTCTTCCAAG